GCATCCATCCATCATAAAACTACTCCAAACGGCTCCGGGGTGTTCATAAAGGCCTTCTGAAGCGAAACGATGCGTTAGTGTAAGAAAAATATCGATTTTTAAAAATGTATAAACCGTAATCTCCAGCTTCCGGTCGCTCAAGCGGGCGCGTTCACAACAAGGTGTTCAAGCGTATGACGTAGGCGTAGCGGAAGGCGCAACGTAAGCTTCGGGGAGAAGAGTGTAGTCTCGCGAGAACCAAGTTTTGTTTACAGCACAGGAAACCACGTGAACTACATCTGTAGTTTGTGCCGCCGCTGCTGCAGCCTCTTCCATCTCGCAGAGTTCCTGGTCGGTATACTCCGGTTCAAACAAATATGGCTGGGCAAAAAACTCATTCTCCTCTTGCCTTATATCGAAATCCTCCGACATTTTTCACTCAGAATCTTCGTTTTGTAGTACTAGATCGTGACAGGTGTTTTGTTTTGCTTTCTCCTCTGTGCTTTGCATTCGTCACTCTCTCCCCGGAGCTTACTAAGCTCTGGGGAGGAGAGTGTAGTCTCGCGAGAGTAAGCTCTGGGGAGACGAGTGTAGTCTCGCGAGAGTAAGCTCTGGGGAGGAGAGTGTAGTCTCGCGAGAGTAAGCTCTGGGGAGGAGAGTGTAGTCTCGCGAGAGTAAGCTCTGGGGAGGAGAGTGTAGTCTCGCGAGAGTAAGCTCTGGGGAGAGGAGTGTAGTCTCGCGAGAGTAAGCTCTGGGGAGAAGAGTGTAGTCTCGCGAGAGTAAGCTCCGGGGAGAAGAGTGTAGTCTCGCGAGAACCAAGTTTTGTTTACAGCACTGGGAAACCACGTGAACTACATCTGTAGTTTGTGCCGCCGCTGCAGCCTCCTCCATCTCGCGAAGTTCCTGGTCGGTAAACTCCAGTTCAAACAAATATGGCTGGTTTTGTAGTACTAGTTTGTGACAGGTGTTTTGTTTTGCTTTCTCCTCTGTGCTTCCACGCTCGTCACTCTCTCCTCGGAGCTTACGTTTGCGCCTTCCGCTACGCCTACGTCATACGCTCGAACGTCTTTTCGTAAACGCATCTGCTTGAGCGACCGGAAGCTGGAGATTACGGTTTATACATTTTTAAAAATCGATATTTTTCTTACACTAATGCATCGTTTTGCGTCAGAAGGCCTTTATTAACACCCCGGAGCCGTGTGGAGCAGTTTTATGATGGATAGATTCAGTATTTTAGGCTTCAAAAACAGGGGCACCATTCACTGCCATTACAGCTTGGAAGAGCCAGGACAATTTTAAATATAACTGTGATTGTGTTCGTCTGAAAGAGGAAAGTCAGATACGCCTAGGATGCCCTGAGGGTGAGTAAATCATGAGCTTATTTTCATTTTTGGGTGAACTATCCCTTTAAAGAAATCAAGGAGTGAATTTCTTACACACTGCTTTAAAACAGATATCTACTGGACATGATTCAAGTTTAATGCATAATATCAGGCACACAAACACTTCATAGCCTATTTAGAAATTCTTACTGAAAATGGGTGATTAAGCAGTTTGTATTGTAAAATCTATTTTTGGGTTTTGTTTTGTGTAAATCAAAGAACATTTGGATGTAAATGGTCCTCTTCCTGATGTTACTGTAGAACACCCAGCCGCTAAAATGGAGCATCCTGCGTATCACCTTTATGAGACTGTGCGGGTCTGGAGTCATCAAGCACGGCATCAGCATCAGCATCTGATTTAATTTTGGTTAAGTCCAGATTTCTCTGCAGTTGTTGTACGTTGTAAAAACAGTGAATATCCATTCAGGCCATGCAACAGGCAAGCAGTAAATACTATAGGCTATTATCCATCAAAATGCAGATTCGTCACGCCACAACTTCTTATAGAAATGAGATTGGGAAGCATTAGTAAGTTTGATTTGATCTATTAATTTATTTACAAAATAACAATTTATAGGCGCGTTCTCGACAAGGCGTTCATGCGTATGACGTAGGCGTAACAGAAAACGCAACATAAGCTCCGGGGAGAAGAGTGTAGTCTCGTGAGAACCAAGTTTTGTTTACAGCACAGGAAACCACGTAAACTACATCTGTAGTTTTTGCCGCCGCTGCAGCCTACTCCATCTCGTGGAGCTCCTGTTCGGTTTACTCTGGTTCAAACAAATATGGCTGGGCAAAAAACTCATTCTCCTCTTGCCTTATATCGAAATCCTCCGACATTTTTCACTCAGAATCTTCGTTTTGTAGTACTAGATCGTGACAGGTGTTTTGTTTTGCTTTCTCCTCTGTGCTTTGCATTCGTCACTCTCTCCCCGGAGCTTACGTTGCGCCTTCCGCTACGCCTACGTCATACGCTCGAACACCTTGTTGTGAACGCGCCCGCTTGAGCGACCGGAAGCTGGAGATTACGGTTTATACATTTTTAAAAATCGATATTTTTCTTACACTAATGCATCGTTTTGCGTCAGAAGGCCTTTATTAACACCCCGGAGCCGTGTGGAGCAGTTTTATGATGGATAGATTCAGTATTTTAGGCTTCAAAAACAGGGGCACCATTCACTGCCATTATACAGCTTGGAAGAGCCAGGACAATTTTAAATATAACTGTGATTGTGTTCGTCTGAAAAAGGAATGTCAGATACGCCTAGGATGCCCTGAGGGTGAGTAAATCATGGGCTAATTTTCATTTTTGGGTGAACTATCCCTTTAAGGACGTGATTATCTGATTGATAGGTGTGAATTCCAAAAAATCTTCAACTTGTACTGCATAGTGCTTGTGTGCTTTTTTTCCAAACCATCTGAAGTCTGTTTATTAGTTTTAGTTTCTGAAGGCAACTTTTCCATAGATTGGTTGTTTTAAGAACAGAATTTCTTTAACACTACAGTTTTATTATTGATTTCTTTCTGTCACGCTGGTGATTTGTCTCTGAACTGTCTCAATAGGGAACTTCAGCACTAAGGCTAATATACAATTCAGTAGTTTTAGCGGTTTTTACAGAAATGTAAGTTGGAAGGTTAGAATGTGTGTTATTTATGATATTATTTTCTTTGATCTTTCTGAATACTTGTTCTTCATGAAGCTGCTTTACTATTCATCTTATGCGCTCTACATATTTCATACACACACAGGTTAAGAATCAGGTTCTTTTTACCATTAATTTACTTGTGTGTTATATATGAAAGTCAAACATCAGGAATTTATCCCCATAATGCTGTTTTGCCCCCTTATAGAAGCTTTGCCTAGTAATCTGAGAGACAGAAAGGCATATATCTGGAGATTTTATGTTCTTATCGGTAAAGAGAATAAATGACCATTGAATTAAGTTACCACTGAATCATAAATAATTGATGAGCTTTTGAAGACAGATATGTTTGAACAGTCTGATAGCTTTTTAGAGACAAGGGTTTTAGAGCAATTACAGTCAAGCTACCTAGTTACAGACTAGTCACATCCATTCCCTCTCTCTCTCACTTGTTAAATATAATAGTATATTGCCATCTGCTGTTTCAAATGTGTAGTGCACTTTTTCACTTTAATCACAGGTGAGGGCTGCGCCTGTCTATATTTTTTGTGTGCGTGTTGGATTCTGTACACACACATATATATATACATATGTATATGTGTGTGTATATATATATATAGAATCCAAATAGAGCCCAGCGTTTTGCCCAATGGTATATTGTAGCGTGTGTTTTCGTGCTGACGCTGGCAGCATTGAGCTGCTTGTCTGAATTGATGAGTTTATGCGTGATGGCTCACACCCTGGTGTTTCTGCACTGAACCAGAAAGCCATTTGAGTTTGTTTGCTTTTGTAGAAACTCATATTATATTATTAGAGCTGTAATACTGAGTTTCAGTGTCTTTGTGTGTGAGGCTCAATGAATCTGATGATTGTCTTAGACTATCTGACTTCATGTTTGGTCCCCAAAATCACTTCTTGCCACAATATATGCATTTTAAATTTAAAAAAATGGATCATATTTTTGTTTGTGTGCAAGTTTTATATGATTTGTGTGTGTGTGTGTGTGTATGTGTATGTGTATGTGTGTGTGTGTGTGTGTGTG